CGTTTCTCTAGCGTGACACAGCATACTGGAAAATTTTCAAACATGCAAGCTGAATCTGTGCTTTCTGGCACAGTCATCGCATACTTAAATCAGCAGAAAAGAGCAAAGGGTTATCAAAGGGCGACAGCTATAAGGGATTCCAGCAGAACAGGAAATTATGTCAGACCTGTGTCATCTGATAGCTACCTATTTACAACTCTGCACTTTATCATGTGGAAGACCTGTTCAAAGTAGAAGTCTGCAAAGCATTCAGCAGCAACCATTCCACTGGTGATATGTGTTTTAAATAGGATCTCCTTATCAGCCCTGTGTGCCATCTAAAATGCTACGGTCTTTTTGCACGTGTTTGTGAGAGTTAGATAGAATAACGCATACCAAAAGTGCCAACTTTAAGTCGGCCGGTCACCTTTGCAAAGCATCTGTCACATACCTGGCCTGAAGTTTGCCATTATCCAAAGTACTGCCACTTGTGCACTGCTGATTTCAATTTAAAATAGCAACATGGTTTTGGCAGCCATTGGCAGACGAAGCTGTTAACTTCCAGTCTGGCCGCAGTCCTGGGTCGCAAATTCCACCATCGTGGTGAGAAAGTCGAGAGTGGATGCATGTGCGTACACTTTTTAGATTGATGAATTCTCACGTAGGCAGTGGTGGAGTTGAAAAGTTCGCTGATAACCCTCAAGCTGAGTCACACACACTAGCAAATGCCAGATCGGATGGGAAAAAAAAGCAGAGACCAGTTTGCCTCTCAAACTTGCATATGTTATTTTATCAAAGAGTGCACTGGTAACTGTATGTTGTTATTTTTCAAATAACAATTAAACATTCTGTCACCGAGGGTGAAAAAGCCCAGATTCCAGTTATATAGAAGCAGATGTGCCAATGACAATCCTCATGTCACTGCCAATGAGGAAAACAGGAGGCGTAGAGGTGAACCGGATGGGGCTGTTGACGTCTTCTTGATGTTTTCTCTTGCGTTATCACTTTCAAAAGACTTCATCTAATATTGGAAACCATCTCAATTTGTTGTAGTTATGAGGAGGTCTGAGAACTTAATGTGACCTGTATCAGCCCCATCTGCCTGGGAAAATTATTTGTATTTTCTGTCATGCTTTTGCGTCACACAGCCAGGCTGCTGTGAAAGAGTGCATTCAACATGTGGCACAGAGGAACAAGGCTGATGCCCACATGACCCTGAAGATTTCCAAGTGTATCGTTAGAGTTCAGAATGTGGTTTGATTTCTATTAATGTGACAAGTTTCTTTTATGCTCATGGGAAAAAGTTAGAAACACAGCTGACTAATGTCCCAGCTGTGGAAATACCCTGTTACAGCAAGGATTAAACAAGGTCATTCCTGCACTGTCATGGTATCTGCAGGTTTCTGTTCATAATGCAGCAGATCACATGGTTTCATTTGCTGAATCATGCTGTTGTGACACAGCTTAAACAGTAATGCATCACATACTAAGACTGAGCAGCTCAGTCAGTAGTAATGCATCAAAGTTAGGTACACTATTCCTGGAAAGGCTTTTGTTGGCTAACTGATACAGTCTTCTAGCCTCACGTGTTCTCACACTGTACACAGGTCACAGGACAGCAGGGGTCTGAATTAAGTGTGACAACAAATAAATAGATTGTTTTGTGTTCTTCAGCATTTGAGTGCAGTTTCCTTTAGCTGATGTCTCTTCTGTAGTTGTGTATTTAAAATAGTTGTAACAATTTTATCACTTGGTAGAATTAGTTTTTCTGAAGGATCCCTGGCTATGCGGCTATACGTACAAAAATTCCCAGAGGGGTAATAAGTGAGGAAAAAAAAGAATCTGGATGGCTCCACTGAGATGATCTGACCTGGTTCTGTTAGCCAGTGGTGGATATGTTGCTCGCATAGTTTAGGTCCACTTGTTTCCTCA